GCTATGGAAGGTGTCCCTGCCCATGGCAGGGGGTGGGGCTGGGGGGGCTTTAAGGTCCCTTCCAGCCCAAAGCATTCCCTGATTCTCTAATTCTATGATTATTCTGCGCTGGTGCATGCTTCCAGGGGGTCCAGACGAATCCATTTCCAAGTCATCGCATTAAAAGCTTTAATTGGTTTGTCATATGCACACGAAGTAGTAGCGCTGTGTGTTCTAGACAAGCAGTTCATGCGGGAAAGGAGATCAGCTTAAATTTTGCAACAGCAGAGCCTTTTAGTGCCTCCTGTGAGTCGTAACACGCACCCAGGAGACAGCTTTTATTTTTTCAAGGATGTTACATTTGCGGGTCTGGGCTGCCCCGATGCCTCCATGCCTCTCCAGGCAAAAGCCCTACTGCAGCACGGGTTGGAACCTGGAAAGCAACTGGGGAACAGCCCGGGGTGGGGTGTTTTTGGAAAGCTAAGCCCTCTGCGTTTGCCCAGCAGATGTCATGGCGCCCGCAGTACCGCAGCTCCAAGTTTCGGAATGTCTACGGGAAGGTGGCGAGCCGGGAGCACTGCTTCGACGGCATCCCCATCACCAAGAACGTCCACGACAACCACTTCTGCGCCGTCAACGCCCGCTTCCTCGCCATCGTGACGGAGAGCGCCGGCGGGGGCTCCTTCCTCGTCATCCCCCTCGAGCAGGTAAGAGGTTTGGCCCCAGCGGAGGCAATTCCAATCCGGAGCCGGTCCCTAAGCATGGATGCACGCTGCATCCCGGGAATCCCCTCCTGCAGCAGGACGTGCTGAAGCCTCCACTGTCCTTTAGTGGGGTTTTCTTGCAGGGGGAAGGGAGGATTTACAGCTGGAAGTGGGTTTTCTCTTTGTTAAAAGCATTTTAGGTGTCTCTCGGTGAGCACGTGCCGGCAGGGTGGGCGCTGGGCACATCTCACCCCTTCACCACTCGTGTTTGTGACCCCGGTATTCCACCGACACAGCTCCCAGAAAGCGAGGGAGTCCCCGTGGAGCCCCTGGTTCTGCCGAGCAGGCAGCGGGTCCTTGCCCTTTATTTCAGCTCATCCCCACAATCTCAGCCCTTTTGCTTTGTGCGCAGCAGCAGATGCCACCTCAGGTTGACCTTTACGACCCCGTCACCAAGCTGTAGCCCCCCCAGGAGCAGCTGATGCCCAGGAATCATGTGCTGTGCAGAGGGCTCTGGGCTTCCATGTGCTGCTGTACCCATCCGAAGCACTTGGCACAGGAGAAGCAGTACATACATCCCTTGAACGATGAATCCTGTTAATCGCAGCAGCAATCTTGAACGTGAAATAAATAATACCTTTGCTTTGCTCCCAAAACTGGGGCACAAGGCAGTGCCTTGGGGTACCACGGTTGCACTGATGCTGCTGCTCTCCCGACGGTGCTGGTGTGGACCAGCAGCTCCGAGCTGGTACCAGCATCCCATCCCCTGGCACCCTGCCCTCACTCCATGGCTCTTGGGCTGCAGGAGGGGACAGGGGGGCTCCCAAGCACTCATTTTTGGGAGTGTTTTTGACACTGGAAGAGCTGCACTCCCTCCTCTTAAGGATGCACCTACCCCATGTAACCGGAAGACGCGCCGTGTAGGAAGACACACGGCACGCGTGGGGGAAGGTGAGTGTCTCTCAGGCTCCCGGACAGCAAAGTTGTGGTTCCAAACCCACCGGCACTTCCAGCTGGGAGGAGAAGCTGGCAGAGCTGGCCGCGGCGGGATGGAGGAGCTCTCCCTC